CAACCCTATGTCCCTCCCCAAGCCCACGTCCCTCCCCAAGCCCGTGTCCCTTCCCGACCTGACATCCCTCCCCTACCCGATGTCCCTCCCCTACCCCGCGTCCGTCCCGTAGCCCGCGTCCGTCCAGTAGCCCGCGTCCCTCCGCAACCCCATGTCCCTGTCTGACCCCCACGTCCCTCCCCGACCCTATGTCCCTCCCCGACCCCATTTCCCTCCCCACCCTGAGATGTCCAAAGCAACCAGAGAGCACAAATGGACCAAGGAAAAGGTAAAACACACCAGGTGGTGGACCCCTAACCCAACCCCAGGTCCCCCGTGACAGCAGGACTGCTGCCAGAGTCTTTGCCACTCCTGAGCTGCACCGGGCTGGCCCTCCAGTGCCTCTGGGCTCCCTGCACCAAAATCTTGTCAGCCAGCCTCAACCCATTAGCAGTCCTGCCCCTGCTCTCGCCAGTTGCCCCAGGGTGATTTTGAGCCGGTGACTCCCGGGGCTCCTCACTCCATACTCTGCCCTCACCTCCTGCTGCCCCAGGGTCAACCTCCCTGGGCTCTTTGGGCTGGCATCTCCAAGGACCTGGGTGCCCCAATGCCTGCCCTCACCAGTTTCCCTAGGGTGACTTTGGGCAGGTGACTCCTGGGGCTCCCCACTCTATACTTGGCCCTCACCTCCTGCTGCCCCATGCCTGAGTTCCCTGGGCTGTTTGGGCTCGTGTCTCCAAGGACCTGGCTCTTGGCCCTGCACCACCTCCATCTCAAAGTGGCAACTCGGGCATCACACTGATGTGTCCCCACCACCCCACAGAGGAGTGGGATGTAGTGATGTCACAGTGCCCCTAGGAACTGTCATTACTGCCGCTAGACTGGCCTGTGATGTAAGACCCAGTGTTCTGGCCCTATTTCTGGTTCCTCTGGTTGCAGCACAGATTTTCAGCTGAAAGAGAAATGGGGATCGTTGGACCTAGGAGTGAAGGTTTCAGGCTGCCTTACTCTTTTAACACAGACATTGACAGTGTGAAAAGCCTACACCTCCCCCATGAGCTCAAAATGTTGACACTGTCCCTGAGTGGCAATGGGAGAACTGGTTTGGTTTGGTTTGGTTTTCTCCTAGGCTTCTACTCTCCAGAGAGACTTTAACGTTTTTTCTGAGTTCTTCACCTCATATTTGAATTCTCCATGGTTCTGGGGCCAGAGTGCCCTTCAGTCAGTGGTTTCTGGAGTGAGATCTGCTTCTCTTCTGTGAACAGATCTTGGGAAACTGAAGTTGACAGCTTGAATCTTCCTCATCTCATCTCAACCTGGGATACTTTGAGTGCCACAGGGTAAATATATGGGGCATCTTTCTGAAGCATCAGTTTCCCTTGATTCTCTTGAGAGACACATTAATGGACTTAGGGATGAGAGTCACATAGATTTCTAAGAGTATACCAGACTTCTCTCTGAAATGAGGCTTGGGTTGTCTTCTTCTGTTAAATTCTCAGATTCAACAGAAAGGCTGCCTTCTGCCATCCTCATGGCAGAAGTGACGTAAAAGTTGGAGAGGTACCGGTGCCCTTCTTAACACTAACAGATGTGTGAGGGTATATGACTCTAAACCACACAGTGTACCGTTCCTGCCTACGTCATATTTGCCTTTCTACCTCTGCCTCTGGTTTTGGTTTGTGGCAGCTGCTGATTTGTGGCAAAATGCCAGAGGTCGGAGTCAGAAGACTGAGTTTAAGTTCCATTATTGCCTTGGTTTCAGCCACGGGATCAGTCCCTCTCAGTCACTGATTGAGACAACACTTCATACAGTTGTTGGTGGCATTAAATCAGATGCTCTATAAGATTATTTTGTAAAACCTGTGAAGTAGGGGCCGGACGCGGTGGCTCACACCTGTAATCTCAGCACTTTGGGAGGCCAAGGTGGGCAGATCATGAGGTCAAGAGATCGAGACCATCCTGGCCAACATGATGAAACCCGATGTCTGCGAAAAACAAAAATTAGCTAGGTGCAGGGGCACACACCTGTAGTCCCAGCTACTCAGGACGCTGAGGCAGGAGAATCACTTGAATCCAGGGGTGGAGATTGCAGTGAGCCAAGATCACACCACTGCACACCAGCCTGGTGAAAGAGTGAGACTCTGTTTCAAGAAAAAACAAACAAACAAAAAAAAACTGTGAAGTAGGATGTGACCGTAGGGGCTTGTAGTTCTCATGAGTATCACTGCTCTTCTTTTCACAGCTGAGAGAGTATCTTATCATCAGCACAACAGCCCTGGTGTTGCTACAGGAATACCTGACGCCAACAGGCAAATAATGGCAGTGACCCTGAGACCACTTCTGCTGGCTGCCACTCACCTGACGATGTGAGTCTTGGCTGGCCAGGCTCCAGCAGACAGAGGGCCCAAGGGACAGTAGAGGGCAACTGTGAAGATTGTGGAATAACTGCCGGGTACTGGTTAAGAATCCTGGGTTTAAAGCCTATTGCTAGATCTGCTAGGGATATGATTTAGGGCAAATTGCTTGAGCTCTATGGGCCTCTGTTTTCACATCTGTAAAATAGGGGTGGTATTGTTTTACTTACCTTTGTGAAGTTTCAATGAGATCTGCTCTTGTTTTTATGTTAATCCCTAGCACAGGGCCTGCTGTGAACACCTCTCCTCCTTGGGCTTGTGTTTCCTGAGGAGGTGGAGTTAGAGAGTATCACAGGTTTCTGTTAGCTCTGAGAGTCCAAGATTTCAAGGCCAGCGAGAGTGGAAACCTTGGGGCCAAGGGCTCCTGTCTGCCTTTTCTATCCCATATCCCCGCTGTGAAGAAATGTAGCTGGCCCGTATGTGCTCAATGTTTGTTGAATGAATGTACCTTTGTAAATGACAAGCTGGCAGAAGGGTGGGCTTTTCTCACACTCCATCTCTGAAGATTGATGTGACTGTCCTTTGGAGAGAATCTAGTTTCAGACTTTCAGTTCTGTGGCTCTGGGTGAAAACCAACAAAGACCCAAATCCTCTTTCTTTGGGAGCTTGAGGGGAGTTTACTAGTTTATATTCCCATTGGGTCTGAGAACTTTGACTTTAAACTCCACTCCGGGCCCCTGCCTACTGCTTCCTGGCCTGGGGAATAGAGTTCAGGGGGCCACCCTCAGTCACCTTCCTTTGACTCTCCCCATGGAAACAACAGAACCGAGCTCAGCTGGATGAAATAACGTGATTTCTTCATGACATGATTGCTGCGTTTGGGGGGCACTGAGACATAGAGGCCCCAGTCTTGTCTCGCCCACTCCCATCCTGGGGAAGAAGACTCACCCCCCCAGATTCCACCCTATCCCACAGAGTCCCCAATAACCTGTTCCCATGGGTGGTCCTGTCCTGGGGCATTGGTGCATTCTGGGGGCATGTCTCCCTGTGCCATCTCTGTCGCCCCCTAGTAAGAGTTCTGTCTTCCTCTTCCTGTAGGAAAACAAGCCAAGCCATCACCATCAGGCAGCGCTCAGGAGGCAGGTAGAGGTGAGTGGAGGGTGTGGAGTTCCCACCCGTCCTCTGGAGAAGGTTTCTTTGCTTCTCTTTCAACAGGTGCTTGGCTTTTCTCCCACAGGCTCAGGCCCACACCATCGGTGTCCTGGAAAGAGAACTGTATTTCACGGAGAGTGTGGCCAGGCAGCTAGAAGGAGGGAATCTGGGCACCCCATCATCCTTCAACCTGGCGCTGGGACAGGCTTTTAGGGGGAGTCCCTTGGGCCTCCTCTCAACCGCTCTCCTTCCAGGAGATGGCAGTTACCTCTCCAAACTCCTGCAACATGCCTCCCAACACGTGGAGGACTTGAGGCAGGCTCTGATGTCTCCACACAGAAAAAGGCGGCGGACAGGGTGAGTCCAACCACCTGCCCCGTCCCCTGGCAACCTAGCTTCCCAGATGGAGGAGTGAGTCTAAAGGTCCCTTCTGCAGGATAGAACGTCCTTCCTAGAAGGCACGACGGGCCATTTCTTGGTGCTTTTGTGTGTGGTTGTTAGAGGCAGGCTGTGGGTGAGTTGGGGCTGCTATAGGGAGTGAGCACAGGACACAGAGCTCAGAGGCCAAGTGCCCGTCCTGCCCTTACCTGGCTGTGGCCTTGGCCAAATCCTAGGTGGGAGTTAGGGTACTTGTACCATGAAGGTGCGGAAGAGTATCTTTAGTATGTTACCATTTGTGTAGAAAGAGGGAACACGTGTTTGTGTGTGCGTGTATCATGGTAAGATACATAAAACATGTTTGTAAGGATTCATTAAAAACTGAGGAGAGGGAGATATCAGTGTGAGTGGGAGATATTTCCCTTTTGTACCTTCTGAGTTTTGGACTATATGAACATATTGTCCTTTCAAAAAGTCAACAAGAATAATTTCCTCCTTCTTATCTGTGCCCCCACCTCCAAGAAAGAATGGGCTTAGAGAATCAGAGAAACCTGGGTGTTGAAATCCCAGCTCTGTCTCAGTGATCTTAGGCAAGCACTTAACCTTTAGTACCCCATGTTTTTCATCTGCACGATAGAGGTAATAATAGTAACCGTCTCCTGGTGGTTGTGAGGATTAAATGGGATTGTTAGCATAGTGCCTGGTAAAGCACTCAGTGAAGATTCCAACAGTGGTAGTAATAACAGCCATAACAATAGCAATGTTATCTGATCTCTCCGGGCTCATTAGCCAGCTATAAATTCAATCTCTTTCCCTGTCCCTTCCACCCTTACTGAGTTCTTTGAAACACAAATGAGGGCCAGGCTCATTGGCTCACACCTGTAATCCCAGCATTTTGGGAGACTGAGGTGGGCAGATCACTTGAGGTTGGGAGTTTGAGACCAGCCTTAACAACATGGAGAAACCCTGTCCCTAGTAAAAATACAAAATTAGCCAGGTGCGATGGTGCATGGCAGCAGTCCCAGCTACTCAGGAGGCTGAGGCAGGAGAATCACTTGAACCTGGGAGGTGGAGGTTGTGGTGAACCGAGATCACGCCATTGCCGTCCAGCCTGGGCAACAAGAGTGAAACTCCATCTCAAAAAAGAAAAGAAAAACAAAGGAGACCATGGGCATGGCTTGGGAACATGCCAGGCGTGACTGAGAGCGAGGAGGTGTTGCTGTGGAGTAGTCACTGCACCTGTTGTTCCTGTCGGCCGGCTGCTGCTCTGTCTGCTGCATCCTGACTTAACCTTTCTGTATTTGCAGTGCAACGAGGAGTTAACAAAGGAGATGGATGGCCTGAGTCTGGAACTGTGCAGGAACACGTAGGATGGGGGATGGTGGGGCCCTTAGTGTGGGTGGAGTGCTGGGAGGTGGGGGGGTACAGGTGAGCATGGTGAGGGGGTCATAGAGGTTTGCATGTGCCCAGCAAAGCTCTAGTGCCGGCTGTGCCACTGACTCATGGGGTAGCCTCAGGCAACTCATGTCTTCTCTCTGGCCTGCCACCTGTGACTTTTAATTCCTGGGGTCCCTTCCAATGCCACGGTTCTGTGGTGGTTGTGGGGTGAGGGTAGAGGGTTGATCAGCAAATCGGTCCTTTCTGTTCTTTTTTCATGCCTTTCTCTACTGCCTCTGGCCATAGTATAATCAATGAGGAGCTGCAGAGGAAGAACACCAAGCTGGAAGAACAACTTAGACTCCTACAGTCCGAAAAGTCCAGCATCCAGTTCAGTGTGCAGGAGCTACAAAGAAAGCTGGCTAGGGCCAAGCTCCTGCTGCCACAGGTGAGAGGCTGCAGCCCCGGGGGTTGCGGGAGCCCCATCCATCTGGGGCCATGGTCGAGGGATCATGCCGGGTATGGGGAAGCTCCAGCCCAGAGCTGGAAAATCTGGGTCCTGGTGCTGGTCCTGCCATAGAATCCTCTAGAGTGTGCTAAAAATCTACAAATTGTAGCCCTTCCTGGGGAATCAGAATCTCAGGGTTAGGACTTGGAAAAAAAAGTTTTTTAAGCATCATGGATGAAAACCATTATTTTATAGATGACATTTCTATGGCTAGCTCATGAGTCGATTTCCTTCTGAGGTTTAAACCAACACTTTCACTATTTATTTCAGCAGCAGCTACAGGAGGAGGCCGTCCACCTGAGACAGGAGGTTGAGAGAGTGGCAGGAGAACTCCAAACCCAGCTGGATAAAAATAAATGCTGGAGGCGCTTGTACAAGGAGCAGGAGCACAAGATGCT